TACAGCATTTTTTCACACCTGCCTAAAACTTTTGCACAATACTGTATATTCATATCACCAACCAGCACAGCTGCAACATTACCAGAATTATTCCTCACACACACACATAAATAAAAACAACCAAGAGGACATTATACATTTTCCTCTTATTCTCTGCTCAATGTTCAATGATTTGCTAAGCATTTTTATTTATTTTTTATTCCCATACTTGCTTAACTTTCATCATATCTTATCACATTAAACAGCCAACCTTCAACTCCAGAGAACACCTGCCCTGACCAGTAGATTTGCAGATGCCTGCCCCTAGAGAGTAATTCTAATTGCTTAAAGTTTTTGAAAGCTGCTTCCTCTTCAAACATGTTGCCAGTTACATTATACTTAGTTACACTATACCTTACCTGTAGGTCAGGATTTTGTGAAATCATTATCTTAGCTGGAGTCTGACCAAACAACTTTCTTTTCCTGAGGGACAGCACACCCCTTGAAAGATATGTTGTGTTTGTAAAGTTTACTCCACAGTCTGCAGTTACTCCTCCAACAGTCTTCATTCTCCTGGAATTAGAAGTGCTAGCATCCTATAAATAGATTATCTGTCATTAGGTAAACAAACAAACCTAACATTCATATATTACACAAAACAAGAAAATCTCTTAATCTCATAAATAGACAACTTTTCTACCGACATAATATACTGAACCAGAAAGTAGCAAACCATCTTTTATCATACAGTAGTGTATTGTACAAATCTGGTCAGTTGTTTGTATACATTCTAAACCGCTATACAGAACTTTGCTACTATTATGATCATAAGGCTTTTTTTATCTGATAAAAAGGACTTAACAGGAAGTTCCTCAGAATAACCTGGACTATGTAGCAACAGAGATAAGATGAGTTTTCTTTGAATATCATTATAAAAGGAGCAGTGGAACATCATGTGAAGGATAGATTCATCTGATGGGAATTTTGTTGAATCTCTCATTAAAAAATGCTGAAGATAAACAATTATACCTGTCTCTGAAGAACCACCTTTGTTGAACTGGAGAAATGAATGAGTTGTCAGACAGACAGAAACTTTATTGTGGCCAAAGACCAGCATAAAGCAATAGAATATAAAAAGGGTATAGAAATATAAAACTGTAATATGAAAGTCAAGGGATGTACAATATAGGACCCATCATAGGCAATCCAGACTTTAGTAAGAATAAGATTAAAATACAGATTAAAATTTATATTTTTTTAACAAAAATTCCCTATACAAATAAATAAAGAAGTAGTGCATAAGACAAGAACATATAAATACATAAAACAAGTAGGTATAGAAGTAGTGGCCAAAGGCAGAAAGAAGCAAATGGATAAGCAAATAAAGAGGGCAGAAGCAGAATAGGTAAGAAACTACAGTGGTACCTCTACTTACGAACGCCCCTACTTACGAAATTTTCAAGATACGATC